AAGAAATCTTTGCTTGCTGTCGAATGCACTTGCTGGAAGTGCAATGGCTCTAAAATGAACAAAACATGTAATTTATTGCTATCGCCGGCGTATGTTATATACTAGCTTTTTAAATAACGTTCTATTCTTCCTGAAAATAATTTTATCTGGATTTTATCTATACAAACACCTCATGCAATTTATTTAATAAAGACCCCTGAGTGATTAATTTTTTTAATTTAGATATTCGAAAACCAAAATGAAATTTTGGCACATTAATACAGTTATAATTTCATCTATGGCATTTGATTGCTTTAAACCCTTCATTCTGTAGATCCCTGGGGCCGGTTGTCCTTGTATCAAGCCTGTTTAATTAGCTTAAACAGTAGATAAGTTTAAAATAGAAAGTGAGTCTATCGTTTATTCAACAAGCAAACAAAATGTTTTTTAACCTTAAAACAAATATACTCTTCACAACTACATATTCCGTCCATGATATTCAAGTTGACTCATTCAAGAGAGATGTAAGAGTGTATTTAATTTTGACTTAACCACTGTTTAAAGCTAAATACAGGGGCTTGATACAACCAGCCCCTGAACACCTAACGCATGCCTACCAGTGTATAAAGCCTCTATTTCTCTTGAAAGTTTTTCTTATATACAAGGGGTGAAGTTGGAATACCGTATTCCACCCATCATATGAATAAGTTCAATTCAGGCATGCAGGGAGGGCTGTAGCCTATAGGAGGAGGGGCTTGGTGTTAGCTACATCCTCCTATACAATATTTATGGTGCTAGTAAAAATCAGGTAAACTATTCGAGACGCCAGTCTTACGGAAAGCTGTATTGACGAAAAAGTCGGCCTAAAATCTGAAAGACATGTCAATTTCAGGCCAAAAACATGTCAATTTCATTGTCCGCTAAACATGACAGGGGGCGTAACAAACTGACGTACGTTTTGATTTTTGAAACTTCAAACGTACGTTTTAAAATAGAACACCGCAAACTTGAACGCAAATGGTAATATAAGGAAAAAGAAAATTCTCATTAATACTCACTGTGTCATTAAATCACTACCAAGAAGATAAGTACAGTTGCAAATCCACTGGCCTCCGCGAACACGGTCTAAATCTCTCTGACTGAGCTATTCCTTAGAAATTTCTCCAACGATTTTCAATTGAAAGTCCCCTATTTCCGTGTAGACACCATCACAGATTTTAAACCTCTTCCCATTTGATGTTTGAAAAGAAGGCTCTGCTTGGTCGGAAGAAGCCTAAAAAATATATAAAACTACTAGAAATACATGCATGCAACAACCCCTCGCCATTTCAAACGAAGCAAAATATTTCCTGAGCTAGCCAGACTTAACCTTCAATATTATGAAATGTCCTAAATTTCCTGCTGCTTTCCGTTGCATTAAGTTATAGACTTTCACAGTTTACGTGAGAGTTAATACTTCATTATAGCTAAACCTTCAAAACATCAAAACAGCCCAAATAATATAAATAACCAAGCAGTGAATGTCGAATGTTGTTTTTCGATTGTTAAATTCATGCAGTCATTGCAGTCGACTATATATAAACCTTTAAAGTGATATTTGTTATATTAAAACACCGAATTACACTTTTAAGGAGTCTTTTGGAAGTTAAAAAACGATGATGTAAAGCCCTAAATAGTTGGTCACGTCTTCGCAAAACCGAGCAAAACGACATACTGTACCAAGGTCATAAAATGTATTCGTACAGCAAACACGAAATAAACCTCGAAATAAACAAAATAGACTCCTACCATTTCAAGGATTATAATCGAATTGTTCCTTTTCACCGCTAATTCCTCCAGTTCTGATAATATTTTAAACTCTTTCCAGTGTTTTATCTGTTATTTGATTCCACATTTCATATTTTGTTTTCAAAACATTTTTTTAAAAAATAGTTTGCAAAATGACAGTTAAATTGCTGACGTTTTCACTGAAACACAAACGTTTTGTCTTAGCCAATCAGGAAGTTGCTGATTACCAGTCTACACACGTTAGCATTTCGCGCATGCGCACAAGTACCATGACCATTGAACGTCCATGACATTTGGGGAACTTTGGGTGTAATTCCTAATCTCCGGGCGGAATTAGTACCCTCACACGGTGCTCCGCACCGGCTCGGGGACAACATCAATATCTACCCTATGTTTTTGCTAATTAACTTTCAAGTAATCTAAGTTTCATCTCTCGATTATGTAATAATAAAATATTTACAGTACCTGGAAAATACCTGTGTTTCTTCCAGTTGAAGACATACTTGGACCTTGACAATTTTGTGAACACGCGAATTGTATCCATGTGCCTTCGATGACGATCAGTATATACAGGTGCACTGAACTCATCAAGGTCTTGTTTAATAATACCGCATTGGCTATTTTGGTTCTGTCACTTCTGTCTAATTAGTGCATTTCAAACGCTTTGTTCCATTTTTTGAAATGGTGCGTTGATTGGTTAAGCAACGCCCCGTTTCTTGGGCTAAAATTAAATGATCAAGGTTTGGTGGAAAACACTGACCCCGGTTTACGGACCACGCACTGGGCGATGGTTATGACAGGCATGATCCTTAGCATGGTGATAGTGGTGAAAAGAGAAGCTATGAGAAATGCAAATGATGGGACCTTTGCTTCTTTTATGTGTTTATTTGACTTGTGGAGTTTAAGATGGCAAAGGGTGAAAGTATTGCAAAAGATCGGCATCAATGTAAAATCACTGACATCTATAAATTAGCACCTCCAGCTCTGGCGCAGGGCAAATCAATCCTTAAAGGTACAGTGTGTACTTATTAGCTCAAGTACTGAAGTACATATTCTTCCACTAGGTTATATATATACTAGCCATACAATACAATTGACTACAATACTGTATTGCAAATTTGCAATACAATTTGATAGGCCAAGTCATGATATTCACAATTCAGTGAATTCACAAATCCAGTTACTTATCAGGGACTGCAAAAGATTCTTAATAGGGGGGGGATATTCGTACATATGTGTTCTGCATCATTAGTTTCTTTTCAAATTGACTGTGAACACAAATATACGAATATAGGATCATATCCACAGTCTCTGTTTTGTTCTTATCCATTTTGAATATTAACAGATGAAAGTACATCATGTAAAATAATACGCTTATTATTATTATGCTTTATGGGTTTTTGAATACCTTCATATAGCTTTGTAGAGCCCCCTGTGACAGAGAAAAAAGCTAATATAGAAAAGAATCTTCCAACAGCAGCAATACCAACTACGGGCCCAGTGATCGCGAAGGATGGTAAAAAGATCAAGATGGAGTGTGATCCTTTCATGTCAACTCTAGAACGTATGTATGTTAAGGTTCAATCTTTATAACACTCAAGTTACCCAATCATTGAGAAAACAACCTTACAGTATGTGGCCCTCAATGCCCAAGGCCACTGATATTTCATCAATTTAAATGTATTAATTTTTGACAATATATAGAGCCACCAATCACCAGTCTGAAACGGCCATCCAATGAAGTCAAAGAAGCAACACTTTTAAAGAAATCTTAAGTCGACATCTCAAATGTGGATTTGTTAGATATTGGAAGGTTGGTCTCTTCTGCAACAATTGATGACAACACTAAATTCAATTTAATTAACAACCACTGGAAACCACCTCTTTCCTTCAATTTCTCATTCTCCTAATTTGGTTCATCACATAGAAAATTTAACCCGCAATGGCTTAATCGTTGGTCTTGCCTTTGTTATTCTATGTTATATGATGGAGTCTTTTGTCTTTCTTGCGTTTTATTTGCCCACGAAACTGGGCATAACGGTTCGAATTTAATCAAGTTGTTGAAGGAGCCCTTAACAAACTGGCAAAGTGCGGCAAGGAAGCTTGAAGATCATAATCAGCATTCGGTCATCCATCGTGATTCTATGTTGCGTTTAGCACGATTTAGAAGCGTGATGCTGGGTGAAACCAAAGGCATAGATGAACAAGCTGATAATCTAGGAAGTGCACGTATTCAACACAACCGAAATATCCTAACTTCGATTGCAAAAACAGTTGTCTTGACCGGCCGGCAGAATCTATCATTAAGAGGACATCGCGACGACTCAACGCATTACTCTTCTCCTAATGCTGGAAATTTCCAAGCTCTTTTAAATTTCAGGGTTGATTCTGGGGACACAAAGCTACAACAACGTTTTGAAACAGCGAAGAAGAATGCTACTTATCGTTCAAAGACAATTCAAAATAAGGTTATAAAGAAATTAAAGAAAGTAATTGTCCTATCTATTCTGTTCTGGGAGACAAGGTAACGGATTGTAGTAATACAGAGCAAATGCCAATTGTTTTGCGATATGTAGATTCCAACAAAGAAATTAACGAGCGGTTCATTAAGTTCGTGGAATGCGACAGGGTGAGTGGCGAAGCTTTCGCAGAAAATATTGAACGCACATTAGAAGAAGTGGGCTTACCTCAAGAAAATTGTCGTGGCCAAGGTTATGATGGTGCCAGTGCAATGTAAAGCCAGGTAAAGGATGTTTCTGGTCGTATTTTGAGCAAGAATCCAAAAGCCTTGTATTTCCATTGTTCCAGTCATTGATTGAATCTTGTTGTCGCCAAAACATGCGAGCTTCCTTCTGTAGAAATATGTTGGGGACTGCACAGAAGATTTCCAGTTTTTTCAGTCCTTCTCCTCAACGCACGCAGTTCTTGAAAAAAAAATGGCAGAGATTGGTTCTAAACTGCAGAAGTTAAATGATGAAGCTCTTGCATTGGCAAATAAAGTTAATGTGAAAGAGAAGGTCCCTCGGATATGTAAAGTCCAAACTGCTCGTGAGAATTATAATGCTTCCATCGGCCGTGATTACTACAGATTAAAATTAACTATTCCTCTTCTTGACCACCTTATTGAACAGATCGAATATCGGTTTCCATCTGAAATGTCCAATCTTTACAGTGGGCTCTACATCATTCCCGGCATTTTTCTCAATTGCAAAGGTGTTGATTAGAAGGAGTTCATGAAGTTTGCATCCGCTTATCTTGATGATATGCCCAACTATCGCTCGATTCATGCAGAATTGGGATTATGGGAGACTAGTTGGAAAAAAGGCTTCGAAGATGTTGTGCATGACTTGGTTGCAGAAACTCTACATCATTGTAAGGAATTTGCCTACCCAAATATTTTTACAGCCCTCAAGATACTCGCTGTTTTGCCATGCGAATGTGAACGATCTGTCTCTGCTCTTCGCCCCATCAAAATGTGGTTGCGAAGCACGATGACCACTGAACGATTGAATGGACTTGCACAGATGCATATAAACGATGATATTCCTATTAATCTTGAGGAAGTAATCAATTCGTTTGCCAGACAAAACCCAACGAGAATGCAATTCCTCGTCATCCTGTATGATCAAGAAGAAAAAGGAAGGAATTTAAGTAATCAATGA